TGGTCCGTGTGCCGAACGGACTGAAGACTGAGACCGAAGGCGGCTTGATGCGGGTGACTGATGTCACGCAACAACACTCTCAAATCGATGCGGCCTGGATGAACGTCATTGCTACTGCTCAGATACCCCCAAAGAAAGCTGCCGACCTCGTACAACAAGAAGTTCGCAACGCAGGTACTTCATTACGGAGTTTCTTCTCCAAATTCGCATCTGCGCCTCCTCCGCCGCCCACGAAGAACATCAAACCCGCGGCTGAGAAGACCAATACTATTGAAGAGATAGCAGGCGATTCGACTGGCACCATCTTCTTGCAAGTATGCACTGTGGTGGCAGCCACTAAAGTCTCACGAAACTTCGCTGCGGAGATTGAGCGCGCAACTAAGAAGTCACCTCCGAAGACGACCAAAATCGCTCTTTTGACTTGTCCATACCAAGATCCGTCAGCCACGCTGGCTACGGGCTCCGGCAGTTCAGCTGCGCTTGCCGACAAGATCTTTGCAGAAGTCCTTCCGACAAAATCTGGTCGAATCTTTATCGGATTTCCGACTGCCCAGACGACTGGCTACCTCGCGCACATCTCTGCGCCATCTCTTATCCCGACGGTTGAGCGCGAGAATGTCGACATGAACGCTCGCTACATCTCCACCTGGAACATTGAGCTACTGCGTGTTGCAGGGCTGGCCTGTCGCATCACCTACGCAGCAGAATTGGCAGCTTTGCAGACCCAATTCGGCAAGGAACCTATCGAGACCTTGATCACGAAGACTGCTTACGTGTTCAAACAATACACGGCCAAATCATCGCACCCTTCTACATCCCTTGGAGATAAAATCGACGAGGCGTTCTGGAATTGTTCGAAGGAACGATCCATCGACATCCTTTCGACCAAGGGCGTCATGTCCAGTAAGCGTGTGCGTATGCCTGCAGAAACTCTAAGTTTCCTGGGAGAAGTACCCATGGTTCCACAAGAACTCGCGAATGCAGCAGTCGACTTCATGCTCAATTTACACAATCGCGGTTTCATCACAGAGCTCACAATGCAGGATATTCGTCAAGGGTTAGAGTCACGAGCACTCAGCGAGGATGAACTCTCCGAATTTCTTAAGTGGTGTGGATCTAAGCTGGAAAGCGGCGAAATCGATGTGCCCGGCTCTCGTAGCTTGTTCGAAAATACAGTCGCTAATATCGACATTGAGCCAGAAAAGAATTCTGGCAGGATACTGGCATTGGGCGATATTAGCACGTTTGTTAACCCAGCGCGTATCGGTGCACATCTACCTCTTCCGCCAGACACTATTCCTTTCTCCTTTACCAGAGGCATGTCGATCAAACAACTGCAACTCTTCGGCTGGGTGGAATTGTCAATGGTTCGCTGGCTTCGACACATGACAACACGCCCGCAGCTAGACGAGTTTACTAAGGATGAGAACCTTGCTCTCTCTGTGCTAACACTGACATCCAAGTGCTGGGAACAGCTTGATGGAAATTCCAAGGAGACTGTTGTCAAGATTTTGACCCCACACACGATCTTGCCGACGAAGATGGGCATGCGGCGACCGGCGGAGTCGTACTTCCCTACTGTTAAGCTGTTTGATGATCTGCCAACTGTGACGCCGTTTGCGGGTTCGAAGGAGAAGTTCCTATTGGCGCTCGGTGTTCGGAAGACCATCGATCTTCCTATGGTGTTTGATCGAATGCGAAGTCGCGACGCGCAGCAGTCGGAGAAATCCGAAAAGCCGACCTGGAATCACGTTGACCTTATTCGCTACTTCGCGTCGGTCATCAACGAGATACCTGCGAAGGATCTTAGTCGACTACAGCAGACAGCGTTCTTACCAGGAGATGGTACGCCAGTAAAACCTGGCGAGCAGTTCAAGGCTTCAGACCTTTATGCCCCCGACCCGGCCATTGTAGCTCTAGGCCTGACTCAGATCAAGCTGCCTTTCGAATTCAAGCCCACTACACGAGAGGGCGTATTGCTGCTGCGTCTCGGACTACGACAGTGCCCAGATTCCATCACCGTTGCAAACATACTCCATCGCGCCGGTCAAGCCAAGGATCTCCAGCTGTACATGCGTGCGATGGACTACCTGTTAACGAACTACTACAAGAACAATTACGCTGTGGAGCACCAGAAATTCGCTGCTCTCACCCTCCCGATTTTGCCGACAGAACAGGCTCCGTTCCCGGCGTTGGTTGGTCCGTTCCAGTGCTACACCAATGAGCACGCAGCATGTCTAGGATTTCCCATCCTAAGAAGCGATCTTCGGAGTCATGCCGAGAAGCTGGGGGTTCAGCGTGATCCGAGCATAGGCCCATGTGTTCAATACCTGATGAAGACTCCACCCAAGACTAAGCTTGATGCAGAAATGCAGTTTGCCTATCTTGCTTCGCGCGGATCCGAGTTGGATCAATACAAAGGACTCATACAGAACCTCGCGACTTCCAACATCGTACCAATCTTTCGGAAGTACTACCTCGACCCCGCTTGCAGCGGATTCGAAGATAGATCCAAGAATCAAACTGGCAAGACCGAGATGCGCATCCATCACTACGATCCACCCGAGCATGTTTTCGTGGGTCGTGATCAGGAGTACCGTGGCATCCTCGATTACGTTCACTATGGCGCGGAAGCTACAGTCTTTCTTCTCAAGGTTGGCGCAAAGCATGAGCCGACTACTCATGATCTGGCGTACCTCCTCGCAAAGAACCCTGCTCGGTTCCTCAACACCATCGGGCAAGAGAAATATCTCGATTTGCTAAGAAAGCTGGCCGAACATGCTCCGAATCTGTGGAAAGATAAGGATTTGGTCAAATCACTTATAGCATCGAGGTTGCTTCTTGGCTACCGCGATATCAAAGAGGATAGCAAGAACGTCGCCGATGCAGGCGAAGACGACATTGATGATCTTGACGAGGACAACGTCCATCGCGAGTGGTCGCTCAATAAAGCTGGCGAGATCGTGATTATCGATAACGTCAACTATATGACCCGGTTCCGCGACTTCATCATCGCAGCCCCACAGGAAGAGCTTCTCGAGGAGTTCTACGCTCGTTTCGGTGTCCAGAAAGTCTCGGAGCTGGTCAAGACTGACCAACGCATCGGCACAGTAGCGCGCGACCAGACACCTGCTCAAGATCTTCGACGAGACATCCTGGAGCGTGTACGTCTCTTCCTTCACGAGTATGAACGCGATGCTTCTTCAAAGGCTATCAGACATGACGCCAAGTGGCTGGGTTCTAATCTGACGGTGCAATGTGTGTCGGATATCTCCATCCGTTATTCACTAGCGGAACGCAATGTCGCAACATCCTCACGTAAATCGGCTGTCATCATCAAGGTGCGTGGTACGGGATACGTGCTTAGCATCACGCCGAAATACGATCTCTACGAGGTGTCAAGCGAACTGGTAAGGTTACTTGTATCGCGGCCGAAGCGCAACGACGCCATCGCGCTAGAGCGCATCTTGACTGAGCCTCTACGCCGACTCCAGCAAAAGGGTATCAACGTCGAGCGCATCCTGCGAAAGAAAGAGCATGAAGCGCGTATCGCCAAGCAAGCCGAGCAAGAGCGCGAAGAAGAGGAACAGCAGCGAGTTGCCGAACAAGCCAAGTCTGGTCACGTCAAGTCTGAAGAAAGAGAGAACATTCCACCTGAGACCCCCGAGAAAGGCAAGCATATGCCTGGTGCATTTGGCAGTCCAGAGGGTGGGATGGAGATCGCCAATCACGGCCGTCAACCAGAGGAGCAGGGTCTCATCAACAACTGGGCGAAGAAGCTCGGTTTCAAGAACGCGCCTAGCGCACCTTCCTTCTCCTCCAAGGGTACAGACGGCCCTCAGATCAGTCGCGACATCCAAGCTACGAAATCGAACATTCAGAATGCTATCAAGGAATGTCGGCCAACTGGTATGGAGAACATCAACACCAAACATCACCAGGACCCGACGGAACTCGACCGTGGAGGTTACTGTACCGGCGAACAGTGGGAGAACCTGCACAAAGCGTTCTCGGTGCCTTTCTCTGGCCGTCACGTCGACATCTACTATGGCCGCGACGAGACTGCGCCACTCACCGACCTGCAATCTCACCTCCAAAAATTCCTACCACTCATCTTTGGCCTCACATCAATCTTCAGCGTCAACCCTGCGGCGGTAAACATCTTCCTCGACAAGAAGTCTAACACGGTGGCGTTCAACATGAATGGTAGTCTGTTCTTCAACCTTGCTTGGTTCATCGCCCTGCATAGCGACGGATGCCAGACTAAGGAAGGGAAGCTCACAGCTCTGGACAGTTGGTTCTGCACGTACTGTCACGAGCTTGCGCATAATCTTGTGGCCGACCACAATGCGCGACATAGCTGGTACCAGCAGCAGATCATCATCGAGTATAGTCAGCAGTACCGGGCTGCATTGGAGAACTTTACTCAGGGTCTTTTGATATAGACGGGGCTTGTTTATTACACGGATATACAGGTAGAGTTGCGCATTTCGGAGTCTGAGTAGTATTGCATTATTATTATCTCGCATACGGTCGGACATTCTCCTGCCCTCCAATTTATTTACTCTGTTGTTGATCTGTTTAATACTCATTGTCTTATCATCGTACGCGGTGAGATGAGTGCGCTCACGGTGACTTGGGCATATTATTAGGTCGCAGGTGTTTCATGCTCGATTACTCACTGATCTCTCAGCAAACGGTTCACCCCGAACTCCGACGTCTCCGCCCCATCGCATTTGGGGACCAATCGCGTCTCTTACCGCACTATCACCGCAAACGCAATCCTCACAAACGGTGAGTACCCACCGGGTAGTGTCTCCATTGGACCATCGTGTCTGTATTGCAATTGAGGTGTATATAAACCTCTTTTACTGCTCCTCTCCTTCTACACTCCACTCTCTACCCACTTCTCTTCCCTTTCCCCAACATCATCAACTTCAGGTAGCCCACAAAGTCCCCACGCGTCTCACTGCCTCGACACTAACTCCAACACAGCCAGCATGAGGTTCCCCACTCTCTGCATCACCGCCTTGGGCTTCATCGGCTTCGCCATGAGCCAAGGCAGCGAGACAACCCTAACAACAAGGCCATGCAACAACCCCAAGTACTGCACTACGGTACGCACTCCACCGGCCCGCTCCAACGCCTACACCTCCAAGGAGACCACCGACTCCACCGAGCTCACCCGCACCATCACCGCGCACCGCCGCCAGCTCACCGTAGTCGAGTCCCAAACCCGAGCCAGCGTCCACACCTCCAAGTCCATCAAGACGCACAAGCCGCCCAAGCCCTCCAAGACCAAGACTTCCGGGGATTCTGAAATCCTTAGGCCCTCCGAAGGTTTCTCGGACTCCGTCCGCCCAACTCGTGTCAGTGTTACTGCTCAGCGTCGCCAGGCTCTTCCGACTACTGCGACTTGTACTGAGATCACCGAGTGGGACTCCAAGACTTATGCGACTGCGATCTCTACGCACATTCAATGCGGACCGGATAAGTCTAAGCCTACTTGCTCTACCTCGTACGAATGTGGATGCCATTCTTCTGCCTTTACGCGGGACGATAATCCCGATATACACTTTTGCTGGCCCATGGCGACTAGCACTATCTTCCCCCCGGACTATGGTGGTGGACGGTCCCAGCGGTGGGTCGCAAAGCAGGCGAGGGCCACTCATGCGCCTAGGGCAGCGTCTCAGGATCTTGGAGGTCGGTCTCAGCGTCTTGTTGCCCGTCAAGCGGTGCCGACATCGACTTGTTCTCCGGGCCATGTGGGAAGCGACTGCAGCGTTGTCGTCTCACCGCCTAAACCGACGAAATCTTGTCCTCCGGGTTGGGTTGGGCCTGACTGCCCTTTCGCAAGTCATGTTCCAAGCACCCCGACGGCTACGGCTACCAACGATATCTACGCTCGCCAAGAGGCTGAAGCGAGTGGTAACCCAGTCTACGTTGTCACGGTCACGCATATCAGGCGTGTAACCGCCCGTCAAGAAGCTGGACCGACTGATCTAGTCGAGGTCATGACGAACACGAACACTAAAGAAGCTGGACCCGTTCACCCGATCGTTGTCATTACGGTCACTAAAGCCCATGATATCGACGAACGTCAAGAGGCTGGGCCGACTGACCCAGTCTACGTTGTCACCGTCACCAACACTATCGCTACTACCGCCCATCAAGAATCTGAACCGACTGACCCAGTCTACGTCGTCACAGTCACCGACACCAACGCTGCCAATCCACATCAAGAAGCCGAACCGACAGACCCAGTCTACGTCGTCACCTTCACCAACCCCCTCTCTACCACCGCCCATCAAGAACCTGAGCCGACCGACCCAGTCTACGTCGTCACCGTCACCGACACCCACGCTGTCAACGCACGTCACATACCCGACGAAATTTCTGCTTCCCTTCCTCCTGTGGTAACGGCAGCGGATTATGGTTGCCCTCCGGGTACTTGCGGACCAGCTTGCCGTTCCGGTCACTACTGCAACAAACTGTTTGGTCGTGTTGCTGCTGGGGAGGGTGGTGTGGAGGATGGTGTTTCGAAGGAGCCGGCGGCTTCCGAGGAACCTGTGCCTACGAGGGGGGGTTAGAGATGGCGTGGTGGTAGTGTTATGGTGGGGAGGTGTTAGTAGGTGGTATGGAGGGGGGTAGGCATGAGGATCGTGAGGATTTGATCAGGAGTAGTGGTGTGGTGGTTTTTGGGGAGAACATGAAAATGGTGGTCTGAGGTCTTTGCTGGTCTAGCTACTCACCTCTAGCACAAGATACGAAAATGACAGCTTGTCCACCTCGTAATCTTCCTCTCTTCCACATTCTCAAACATGTATCTGCTCCTACTCCGTCCATTACACCCCAAACCCCTCCAAACCCGCCTCCGTACTCTCAATCACACCCGGATACACCACACCCCCCTGCCTCCTAACCTGATCCATAACCCGCATAACCACCTCCGTCTCCTCCAAGCCCATCACCTCACTCTCCATCTTCCCATCCCGGATACACCTTGCACACTCATCTGCTTCCCAGAACATACCATGACCACCCCCAGGAATGCTCTTGAACTTATCAACGACCTCGTACTCAAAGTCCGCTAATTTCCCGCGTTTCTCATTAGCAGCAGGCGTTAACGTGTACGTACGCGGTCTCGGCGCGTAGTCGACAGTCAAGTCGCCCAACGTCCCTTGGATCCTCACCGCATCACCCCCAGGATTAGGATATCCCGCATTCGGCGTCGTAGCAACAACAATACTCGTCCCCGCCACGCCCTGCGCCCCCGACCCCGGAAAATGACAAAGCACAGTCGTCGTCTCATCAACGCCCGTCTCATACTTACTAACCGCCGAACTCACAACGGGTTCTTGTCTCTTCTCCTGCGGTTGGCAATGCCATAACGCCATAACCACCCACGTTAAACTATAAATCCCCAAATCCAACAACGCGCCGCCCGCGAGATCAGGATTCACCATCCTATGCTCCGTCCCGAATTCCTTGTTCACGTCATTCCAGAAACTAAAGTCGGCGAATACACGCTTTATCTCCCCAAGTTTTCCTTCTTTAATGATGGAGCAGACTTCCCGTGAAAGAGGGAAGAAACGTGTCCATACGGCTTCCATCATGAACCTGCCCTTTTCTTTCGCTAATTTCCTGAGTTCCTGGCATTGCGCCGCATTCACAGTGATGGGTTTCTCAACGAGTAGATGTTTTCCGGCGTTGAGACAGAGGCGGGCGTGGTGGTAGTGGTGGGAATGGGGGGTGGCGATGTAGATGATGTCGACATTGGGATCGGAGACGAGGTCTGTGTATGAGCCGTAGGCGCGTGCTGTGTCGGGTGCGCCAACAGATGTAAGAAATTCCTTGGCACGAGTTGCCGACGTGGAAGATGCTGCTGCTGCGACGACATGACGGATATCGGATGCATCGCGGGTTTGGGGGTTGATGAGAAGGTCTTTTGTGAATGCTGGAGTGGTGTTAGGAAGGGCAGGGTGAGGAACATAGTGAGGCTATACTTGTTGCTATGCCTCCCGTCGCTGGAATCAGTTAGCATTCTCTCATCTATATTTGAGCTCAATTGTGCATACCCAAGATACCCCACCTCAACGTGAATGGCTCCGAAGTCATGTTTGCGAAGTTGTATTATCCCGATGTCGGGACGAAAGAGGAAGACGGAGATGAAATAGTGAAATGGGGAATACTTCCTTTGTAGCTCCATCGCTATATATACAACCCGATCCTATGTCTTGTGCGCCCTAGGGCACATTCATGCTGCAGGCACATATGTAACATGCCATAGTAGGGCGTTGACAACCTCTCGATTAGAGTACCCCGCAGCGGGCGGTTTCCATGTCAGAGGGCCTGATGACGCGAAAAGCGGAGAGACGGGATGCTATCCGCCTTGTCCTTCCATATCATCGCTCATCAAACTGTTGATGTACGCATCCGTCTCAACTTGATAAAATGATGCGTGGTATTCCGGGTATATACATTTTGAAGCCTCGTGGTCCCTCCACGTACCGTGATAACAATGCTCCAGCAAGTGCTCATAGCTCAATGTAACCATCCGCCGTCCTCCATAGTGTCGACTTCCTTTTACGGGTCGCGACTCGACCCGATATACAGCTGCGACTGCGATCGCAACCAATTCCGGAATGTGCCAGTTTGAGGTATGCCCTAGACCTTGCGCATGGCAAGCTTCTTGCGTGCCTGGATAGTGTAGGCGTATAGGGCATCCTTGAAAGCGAAGAGGAAGGCGGCGGTGATGACACTCTGGGTGACCTTGGGTCCGATGCCTGTGACCGGTTAGCACATCTTCTCTCCTCCTTCGAATGCTTCTACACATACCTCCATACAGGCCAGTGTATCCCTCCTCCCTGATGATGCGCCTGAAGGTGGTCAACATGTCCTCCCTCGGACCATCCCTGCCCGCAACGTGCATCCTGCTCTTAACAGTGATGTACGGGTAGGTGATGCTAGTAGCCAACAGCTTGCCCAGCGCACCAAGGTAGAAGGCATCCTTGGGGGTAACCCTCCTCCGCTTCTCCAGCATCTGCTTCAGCTGCTCGAACACGGTGTATTGGAGGATCGGGTTGATGACCAAGACCAACGCTGGCATGACACCCGCGAACAGGCGCGCGGGGCCCTCATCGCGGACGAGGGCGAAGAGCGTGCCAAGCGTCGATGGCGCTTTCTGTGCGGGTGTAGGTGCGCCCGGGAGCGACTCATCGGAGGCTTCGGATTTGCGCGTCGTCATGCGCGTGTTGACGACCCAGATGGGGTTGGTCATGAGGACGGTTGCGCTGCCGGCGAGGGCGCCTGCCATCATCGACTCGACCGTGGTGAGCTTGGAGGAGGCGCGACCGGCCTTCAGCGCAGCCTTCTCGAAGAAGGAGCGGGTCCATTCGTACCCTGATGCCGTCAGTACTTTGATGTATCCTTCAGAAGTGCATTGTCCTACAGTAATAGTAGACGAAGTTTGTTACGCTGATGCCGAAGAGGGCGGAGTCGAGACCGGCGTAGAGGCCTGCGACACCCTCGCGCTTAATGATGCGGCGCGCGGCATTGAGCGTCGACGACTGTGCGCGCTTGGATTCAACCTGGGCGCGGGTAGAGAGGGTGATGAGCGGGTAGCTGGGGGTTGTTAGCAGCCCGCATCGCATCGTCGCGATGGCGCATACGTCAGGGCCATGGACAGCAGTCCTCCACCAGCGCCAGCCAGCGCATGCGCAACATTGTCGCTCTGCTGAGCCGCCGTGCTCTGGGGCACCGAGGAAGTCGACTCGATGAGCTTCTCCTGCGCCTTTTCCTGTGTTTGAGACATGTCGAGTGTGGAATTTAGTCGCGCGGGCGTTGAAGAGGGGAAGCGGGCGGTTGTCGCGACGGGAGGAAGGAGCAGCCGATAAGCCGATGGGATTGGGAAGGTTAGGATAAACAGTGAAGGAGAGGGTATCAAAAGGGAAGCAGCTTCAAGTCTCGTCGGATGGTCTTCGTCTCCGCATTTGAGCTGCGGCTCCGGCTGGCTTGTGAACGTCACCAAGCGTTTCCGGGGTAAGACGTACAACCGAGGCAACAACTTCCCCCGATCTAGTCGCATGCGGTAATCCTCTCCAAACTACCAACATGTGCAATCTCCTCGCCTCATGCACTGCACAACAAACATGTAATCATCACTCTTGATTGGTCGTTGCTACTGGATTATTCTGCAACTACCTCCCGTATATCTTCCTCTCTGCTACCCGAAACGGTACATAGAGCACCGCTGCCAGCACAACTGCGACCTCCAACCCGATGTCGCCCGTAGTCTCCGCGATGGGTCCTGTCCACCAGATCTGTCCCATACACGGGATGATGAGGCCAAAGGAGAGCAGGAACGCGCTAATTGCTGCGACACCGGGTGGCAGCTTGCTCGGCTCGTCCCACGCCTCTTCATCCTCAGTATAGGCCATGAAGCTGCTGCGTCGGAACAACACGTGTTCGGTGATAGCGATGCCAATGAAGGCCGCACTCCAGTACCCGATGACGCCGATGAAGTTCTCGAGGTTGAGGAAGAAGCTTGAGGAAGCCTCGACAGCAACGCCAATTACGATGCCAGTAATGACGATGCTGAAGAAGATGCGCGGGATGCGGAAGAGCCAGGGAAGGAGCATCTGCAGGTTTAGTGTTACGCTGTACATCGTTGCCGACAGGTTACCCAACATGCTAAAGGCAAGCACGACTGTGACGAAGCGACCAAACCCGCCAGCTGGTTGAAGCATGGCCGCAAGGACACCACTCGCTGCGTTGACGTCGTACCCAGCCTGCCATGAGGCAATGTTTGGCGTCGCACCTCCCATTGCTGCACCGAGGGTCATCAGCAGGATCGTAGGCAGCGCAAGACCGGTGTAGGTGTAGAGCGCGATCCGGAAAGGAGGGGCCTTGGGATGCATATATGTCGAGAAGTCGCTCGCGAGTGCAGCCCATGGGAGCATGAAGCTCGCCACGAGACCGCCAAACGAGAGGACCTGTGATGCCGTGGCAGCTGGCGCTGCTACCTGCTGGCTGAGGCTGCTACCCCCGCATCCTGCTGCAATGATAAGTGCGGCCAATGCTGGGATCCATGCCCAGCGCTCATAGTGATGCAATACTCCGAAGCCGCAGAAGGAGATGACCAGCGACAGTATGGCGATGATGACGATACCCACCGTGGCGTTGATGGTCGCTCCGTCCTGCACCGCCGACAGTGCCATACCACCAATGACGCTGTCGACAACGCAGAAGCCCGTCAGCGTTGCAAGGTTGAGCAATATCAACAGAGAAACAAAGTATTTCCCGAAGGAAAACCTCGCCTGGACCAGCTGTCGCATACCCGTCTTCGGCCCCCACGTACACATGTACGCCACCGGCACCGTCGACACGAGGGTAAAGAAAAGAATAACCAGCGCCGCGTCCCTCAGACTAAGAGCAAAAGACATTGTGCCCACCATGCCAAAAGTCACACTGCATACCCGTTAGCCATCATGCAAGGCCACCACTCCCCAATTGACCACTTACGGCAACGGATTACAACTCATGCAAAACCAAAGCGTGAAGATCTTTGAATACTGCGTCTCTGTCCTATCCTCATACGGCACAGGCGTACACCCTCTGAGCTCAACATCACCTTTCTTTTCCAGAAAACTCAGCACCCCTCTCCACCCTCCAACTCTTTCGTGCTTGCCCACCGTGACATCGCCATGTTGCTGCTCCACTCCCACGACTTCCCCAACCGAGAGATTCGGCCGCTTGATGTCTTCCTGTTCCCGCGAAGGAGCCCTAGGAGTACTCCCCACCCTGCTACTGCCTACACCTCCATTCGGGGCGTCTGCCATCTCTTTTCTCGGACCCGTGGTGTCTTGGCTCGCAGCACCGTTTTCGCCGCTCCACCCCGAGATATTGCGCGTGTAAAGTTTGTCAGTCGTGCGTAAGGGACCCGAGAAGATGGTACAGACGCCGTTGACGACCCACTCGCTATGTCCGTCTACGGCTTGCAATGCGAAATAATAGTGTGAAACTGCTCAGTCGTGTGATGCGATAAGGCCCCGGCGCGACTATATACCTGAATCATTTGCTCCACCCAGTACAACGTCGTTATGACTCTTTGCTTACCCCATAGTGGCGGGCTGGTGACTATCGCGAACAGAGATTTTTTGCAAACACGACATTTCTGGTTCGCGCATCCTGTGCCCGGCAAGGCTAGACGCGCACCCGTTCGGCACCGAGCGCTGCAAAATGGTTTCAATGCACGAATGCACGCATCCCACAACAAAGGGTCCATGACGATCTGGCCCACCTCGCGCGCTGCTAAGCCGACAACCGCATGATAGCCGTCTAATAACCGCGCCTTGACTGTGTGCAGCCGTAGCTTCAGGATGCTACTCCGACCATGACGGAGGTGGATGTGCGATGCGTATGCCGTGGTGTGCATGAGGTGGTTGTCGGCTGCATGCTTGCTCGCTGCGCAATGGCCTGATTATAGACGCGCTTGCCGACTTCTCGCCGGTCTGCCGGACCTTCCCCACGGTCTTGACCGAGATGGGCGACACTCGTCCAACCACACTGCGTGCGGTGCTTGATACTCCGACGAGGGCGTGTAGCGTCCTCGGGGAGGGTGATGTTAGTTATCATGGGCGTTGAGACGCTGCGGCGTCGCCTTGCATGAGGCTGTCCCTCTTCGCTCATCTCCTTCTGCTGCGCTCATATTTGGAATCTGGTTATGGCTGCCGACGAAGAGAACAAGCGTGAACCTATACCGGTCGACGAGGCTGCTGTTGCACCTGAGCTGCCCGTAGAAGGTGAAGTCGAAGTCCCATATAGCATATACACCAGCAAAGAGAAATGGCTCATCGTAGCTATGGTCGCGTTGGCGGGGTTCTATAGGTACACTTCTTTCCTTTCATCTCATCTCATCTCAAGATACACACATAGAACAACAACTAACACCACCATCAGCCCCCTCCCCGCAAACATCTACTTCCCAGCCATCCCAACCCTCGCCCGCGCCTTCCACCAAACCTCCGAAGCCATCAACCAAACCGTCACCGTGTACCTAGTTTTCCAAGGAATCAGCCCTATGCTCTGGGGCCCCATCAGTGACCGCTACGGCCGCC